TTAAGAGTACATCGAAAATCGTATCCAATACTGAACAATCACACTTGGAACACAGTCTCGAAGAGAGACTTTGCATGCTCTTCCTTCGATCACCCTTTTCGTTACTGTTAGATTCTTTGCTTCAGTCTTGCTGGTAGACCAGCACTCCCTGCCATAGTTCATTAAGGATAGCAAAGTCGGAATGGGTCGATTTGGGGTATTGCCATTTCGGTGCCAGTCGATAGTAGTTATCAACGTGTAGTCCTGTGCCGCGCAGATGCGGACGAAAGGATAATCTCTATTGCGAATGATTATCATAATAAAGATATCATTACTCACCTTCGTAGGCTAGCGCATGACTACAAAATGGGGCAATGATGTTACACATTGCAAATAACATTGTGCTATAAAAATAAAGTTACTTTTTACATCAGCTCGTTGTTCATCAATGAAAATTCGAGTTTAAACTAAATCATATTGATACATTTAAATTTTGTGAAATAATTGGGCAATTAAACGATTAATTTGACAGACTTTTCCTATTGTGCTAATTGTATTAATATGTAATTAATGAACATCTACGGATGGACCTAATCTTCGAAATTCAATTCGCATTGTGTTCACGTAGAGCTTCTCATTTACATGCAACATAGAGGGTTGGATATTACAGTTGGTCGAAGTGACCGAGTTCATGTATAAAGAATCAAACGTGCGTCGTACGACTGCACGTGGATAACTGTCGATCAGCGCCAAAACGGCCTGTGCAGAATCGGCACAGACCGAGTAACCCATGAGTGAGAAAGAAGAACTGTTCGATTCAACCATAATTCCCCCCTATAATCTTCAGTGCTGAACGCTGAAGAAAGCAAACCAATGATCACTGTTAAAGTGATGCAGCAACGAATGAGCGAGGCGTTCTTCCGGGATCACTTTTCGAGCGTATAAATTCAACCACATATTAACAGACTTGATTTCTGCCTTCTACGGTGTCAAGAGAAGATGGGCCGGCCGGATGGCTATCACGGGAAATAACCTGGGGACGTCAAGAATTTTAAGCATTGGTCCGTGGGACCACTAACGTCGTGTAGGTCGTCCAGGAAGAAACTGAGATGATCCAATGGTTATATCACGTGGTCAGAGGTCAAGACATCAGATAGAAACTAAAGCATGCCGCAGGAGCACCATCGCAATCGGAGGAGTCGAGGACAAGTCGGATGACGGATAGTACACATACACTAAGCATAAGCTTATGTTTAGTAAAAGTACTAAGTCGTTATAAACGCCTGTTACAATTGATTTGTGAATAACGCGAACATGCAAAAACATAACCCTGATTTAGAATAGTAAAGCATTACCTGGTATCTTTGCTCTGGCCACGGGAGTGCTCCTGTCGTAAATTCCACTACCATAAAGAACCAAGAGTAAAGATCGTCTCTTCGTCCTTGTTCATTCATCCTTAACGCTTCAACGGAAGCATATCTTGGGGTTCCCCGAAACCCTGCCCTCTTCCGCACTGGTCGGGCACCACCCCTGCTGCCAACGAATTGCCTTGCCATTCCAAAATCCAAGATATACAGATCCCTATAGGCCGGCGGAACGCCGATCGAAAAGTTCGCCGGCTTTATGTCGCGATGAATGTATCTATAACTTACTGGGATTATTAATTTTCAAGGGAAATTTTTCTGAATAACGGCGGACAAAAATATTCCTTGACCTAATGAAGGCATCCATAAAGATAAAGTGCCTAATGGATGAAGATGAAACTGACAGACCCAATGAGGTGCTAAAGCGTTTGTTGCCTCATAAAACTTCATTCAATATGCACTGCTGGTTGGAGGATTGTAATCGACGAGAAACGTGAAATACCGGTATCTCAGGCAGCATTAATGAATGCGAAAGCAGGATGGTGTAGTGAGGGCACAACAAATCAACCACGCTGACGCATCGTCGCTGGAGTGAAATCGATCAATTGTGATTAATAATGACTTGAATGAATCGTGAAGTTATTTATCCTCAAATCTGTCTTAGGACTTCCCTCGATTACGGCTATGAGACGTGACGGAATTGAGACTACGTGGTACTTTGAGAGGTTCATGTCACAAAAGGTTCCATAAGACAGGAAACAAACGAAATACAAAAGTGACTATTTTTCAGAGGACGGCTTTCGATTGGAGGAAATTACAACTGCAATGATTTTGAAAGACATTTAATTCAATAACGTAGCAAACCAAGACCAAACTTGCCTTGACATATTCAACTCTTTACAATATCGTTC